ACGAGCGCACTTATTGAGAAGCCGCCCCTGAATTGAATACAATTTACTTCATATTTACATGTACCGGGTGTCCAGATAAGAAAGGTCACCGGCTATATCTCAGGAACTATTAGTCCTAGAGCTTCCATGTAAATTTTTTTTTTATAAAATAGGCCATGAGAAATTGCTGGAAATAGTTTTCAAGTTTGTAAGTTGACCGCTAGGGGGCGCAACGAACACTCGAAAACATAATACTGTGATTATCTTCAAAAAACGCCTACTAAGGGTATCCTAAAAATAGAATTATTCAAATCTTGATGAGATTACGAAAAAATTTTGTTAAGGATTTTTTGCCCTAACTCTTCAAATAAGAGGTGGGGGAAGGTTCAAACTTGTTAGGAACAAAAATTATATAACTTTTTTGTTTTTTAACCGATTTCAATGAATCGGGTGTCATTTCAAAGAGTTTTTTTCTGTTCAATAGAATGCATAACAAAACTAACAAGATTAAATTGTTTCGTTGCCGCTAGGGGGCGCTGTGTCCAAAAGTAAGCAATTTTTCATTTTTTCTCGGAAATTTCAAATATAATGATGCTGTTTTTATAATTTAGATGGAAAGAGGATAAAAAAAATAAGGAATCTGGTGAAAACCGCAAGTCTGAATCTTTATCCTAGCCCAAAATATAAATAAACAAATATTTCAAGTAAGAATAATTTCAGAAAAAAACCTTCTTGCCTTCCTTTTCGGGATAAAACAGAAAGAATCTTATTTTTTTACGGCACTATAGAATTAGTAAGAAGAAGAACTAGTTGTGTATCTGAAAGTAGCTACCAATCCACGATATCAAGAATTGAAATTGAATTGAACTATGTTATTTACAATCCAAGCCGCGAAAGCACATTTCTAGGTGCGAGGTGTATTTAATACCTCCGAACACCTAAATAGTTATTTACATTCCAAGCTGCGAAAGCGTACTTTTAGATGCGTGTATTCAAATAGCCGAGGCTGCGCTTCGGCTATTTGATAACCTCCGAGCACCAAACAGAACAGCAGCATGTGATGTATTAAACTTTTCATCCTTCCCCCTCAAAAATCGTGAAAAGGCGTGCGAAGGTGAAGGTACCTACAAGCATGTTTCACTTTCGGTTTTGCTCGCCTATGCAAGATAAAAAAATCTACTTTTGTAGGGGGGAGAATGAAAAAGGCTTTTGTAGCGTGTAACGGATTAGATTTCAGTAATATAAACACATGCGACATCTACATCTAAATACAAACATTGCACCTGGATTTGTGTTTAGGTGTGAAAGAACAATAATTTATCAGGGTCGAAAGTGAGTTCTGCAGGCCGAAAATGACAGGAGAACAGTCACTTTCGGCCTGCGTTGAAGTAATAGTATATTACATACGGAGGTAGAAAGTGTTTTCTGTAAAAGTAAAAGTCAAAAAAGTGACATTTTCAACCTTTTTAAAAGTCAGTAAAGTCAACATTACATGTATAATGGGGTAGTATACTATATATGAAAATCAGTAAAAAAACTGCTCGACATTATTCTATAGGCTAAATGGTGACGGTATATTGGGATACTAAATTATTTTCCAGCATAGTGTCTATAGAATTAGTCAGAGAAGAGCAAACTGTAATTTGAATTTAGCGCCACAGCGGTGACCAATAGTATTGGAGCCGCTAATCATCTGGCAACGCTGCTCAAAATGCCTCTAAACGACACCTACTCCAACAATTCAACGACGTGTGGTATCGTGTGACATGTGACATTCTCACAGTAACTTGTTTACGTTGTTTGATGTAGTAAATTTGACGTTTCGTTCATGACGGTCAATGTCAGTACAAATTGTGCGTTCTCAAAACCGTGTTGTGTTGCCAGATTGGAAAAACTAACTAGGTCACGAACTTTTATTTTCACCTAGGGGCGGGGCTTAGAAGAAATTTAAAAAGCAAAATTCCATTGTATTGCGGTTTTTACAAAGCAACTGATTACACTAAATAGTACGATACGTCGAGTGTATCACTGCGCAATAGTTAAAAATCACTTGTATACTACCCCATTGTAAATAAACAAAAGTAAAGTGACATTTTCAAACCTTCAAACCAGTAAGGAATGTGAAAATTACATATTGGTGATTTCAAAATTCAATGCGGAACCTGGCGGAGATATTTGGAACTAACTTAACGAGTACCTAATAGATCGGTTGTTTACATACCGTATTGGAATATTTTCTTGCTTTTTCGATGTTTTCTGTTCGTTCCTAATTTAACTTACGTGTTTTGTGTTGAAAAGTGGGAAATATTAAAGGGAAAGCTTTTATTTTCATTCTGTGAGGTGCTATTATTACAGGAATTAAATGGCATCTGCCTCCAAGTCCAAGCGGTCCAAGCATAACACAAACTGCTGTGTATACGAATGCCATTCTCGAAAAGGTGCAGACAGAACTATTCATTTTCATTATTTTCCTAACAAAAATAGTGATCGTGCTTTCTACGCCAGCCTGCAGTTAGGATAAAACTGTGGCCAAACTCAAAAACAGGCCTCCATTTTCCATATTTCGTGTTGTATGGATACGAAATGCACAAAAGAAAGTCACAACGTTCAAAATTTATAAAATATAGTAAAAAACCACCGAAAAAACTACGAGAACAACGAGAAAATTAGCGAAAGAAATACGAATGCATATAAATACAATGCTGAATGTCAAAATATTACTCGTTCTCTACCATATTTGTTTACAGACGCCAGCGCCCCCATCAGTAGTCGACATCGCCAATATGGTTTAAAATAATAGTATATTACATATCGAGGTGGAAAGTATTTTATAACTGTCGAGAGATTTTACAACGGTTAGACCGAGGCGCAACCGAGGTTCAACTAAAATCTCGAGACAGTAATGAAACTTCTCACCGAAGTATGTATACTATGTATTTTATTTACAATCATTCGAATTTTGTAATTTTTATTTTGATGAGAACTAAAAAAATACAATAAATTTCAACAATTTCACTTACCTTCGGTCCACAGGAGAAAAGTAAACTTTCAACCCATGGGTGAAAAGTAAAAGTCAAAAAAGTGACATTTTCAAACGTTTTAAAACTCAGAAAAGTCAACATTACATGTATGATTGTAAATAAAATGTTTTTCTATCTTGAATGGGCAAGCGAAAGTGAAAGTAATGACTAGCATGTTTGAATTTCGCTTTCGCTTGCCTGTTCAAGATAAAAAAATGTTTTCCTGACGGGAACAATGGAAAGTTGGATACATTACACGCTGCAAAAGCCTTTTTAGTTTTTCGGAGGTATTCAAATAGCCGAGGCGAAGCGAAGCGCAGCCTCGGCTATTTGAATGCATGCACCTAAAAGTACGCTTTCGCAGCTTGGAATGTAAATAACTATTTAGGTGTTCGGAGGTATTAAATACACCTCGCACCTAAAAGTGCGCTTTCGCAGCTTGGATTGTAAATGACATAGTTCAATTCAATTTCAATTCTTGATATCGTGGATTGGTAGCTACTTTCAGATACACAACTAGTTCTTCTTTTTACTAATTCTATAATACCGTAAAATTTTTTTTTCTGTTTTATCCCAAAAAGGAAGGGAAGAAGGTTTTTTTCAGAAATTATTCTTACTTAAAATATTTGTTTATTTATATTTTGGGCTAGGATAAAGATTCAGACTTGCGGTTTTCACCAGATTCCTTATTTTTTTATCCTCTTTCCATCTAAATTATAAAAAAAGCATCATTATATTTGAAATTTCCGAGAAAAAATGGAAAATTGCCTACTTTTGGACACAGCGCCCCCTAGCGGCAACAAAACAATTAAATTTTGTTATTTTTGTTGTGCATTTTATTGAACAGAAAAAACTCTTTCAAATGACACCCGATTCGTTGAAATCGGTTAAAAAACAAAAAAAGTTATATAATTTTTGTTCCTAACAAGTTTGAACCTTCCCCTACCTCTTATTTGAAGAGTTAGGGCAAAAAATCCTTAACAAAATTTTTTCGTAATCTCATCAAGATTTGAATAATCCTATTTTTAGGATACCCTTAGTAGGCGTTTTTTGAAGATAATCACAGTATTATGTTTTCGAGTGTTCGTTGGGCCCCCTAGCGGTCAACTTACAAACATGAAAACTATTTCCAGCAATTTCTCATTGCCTATTTTATAAAAAAAAATTTACATGGAAGCTCTAGGACTAACAGTTCCTGAGATATAGCCGGCGACCTTTCTTATTTGGACACCTGCTACATACAGACCAAATCATCCTACTAGACACATATTTCAGTAATAATAAGACGAATCAATTTCTATCCGGTTAAGGCGAATCGAAGCGGTGCTGCCAAAGCCGAGTATTGCCGAACTGCCAAAGATTCACGAATTTCAATAATATACAGGGAGGATTAATGATCAATGATCCAGTGTCGCCACGCTGGATCATTGATCATTGATCCTGCAATGAAATATGTGTCAATTTAACTGGTCCCATCTAAGTGTCTCTCAGCCTTCTAGTCCTGTCTGTAGATATAATTTTACTTGTGTTTTTTTGGAGCTCGAGCCCCCATAGTAATTTTGTTCCATAGTTCCGGCGCCTATGTCTTCGGCTATTCATAAATTTCCAAGTTTCAAATTTTTATGTAAGCATACGAATCTAACACTCAAAATCCACGAAAACAACTAAAGCTATTAACCCTACCCTACCTTACTCTTGAAGCTGGGGGTGGAAGCATGATCATTTTGGATCCTCCAAACTCCAACGTCTACAGGATGTTTGAAGCTGTGACATTTGCACTAGAAAAACATCCATTGGACGTTCTCAGTTAGTTTTTGAAACGCGTTTCTGGTGCTATAAGGGTTTGTATGACAGCGTAAAATACAAATAGGTAGTGAAAAAGAAGTTAAAGTGAACACCTTTGAAAGTATTGACAAATCGTTCAAAGTAATTATAAGTGTGTGCAGGCATTCATTTTGATACAAACTCTGTAGATCCACAAATACAAATAAATAGTCAATCTGAGATATACAATCATGTATTGAAACTTTCTAAAATACAATTCAACTACATATTAACCGATTATAATGAAACTTTGGCATCTTTAGTTGCATGATGAGATAAATACATACAACGAAATTTGGATTATTATGATAAGCAGACTTTTTCATGATCAACGATTAATAGTTTTGTCTGACAATACAAGGGACGACAATTTTGTTGGCCAATAAAACATCCAAGGGACGATACTTTTGTCTGATGATAAGATGTCAGCCTTCAAAGATCCAGAAACATCTTCTGGATGTAACAGATTTACGTTCCTGGAATGCCTATGTAACGTCACATATTTGTTCTGTTTGCAATTGACCAAAAAAAGACGTCAATTTTCTAATCAAGCTGTGAAGCTATTATACTGAATGAGTAAAAGCTATATTAATGAGATTTTAAGCAAACAATAACAACGGCAAGAATAAAATCAGTAGTTTGAAATATGCAATAATGTTAAACAACTCAAATTCACTCGATTAGAGAATCCCTTGCTCAAAAATTATTAATTCCTTTATTTATTATCTACATTATTCTCATCGTTCTCATTCTTAACCCCTTCAATGGCCTCTCGCCTCACGTATCTAACCAATTCGTGATGATTTCTTCTTAAAGGCAAATGATTATTCGGCGCAATCATCAGCAGATTATTTCCGTTACGATCGTACATGGGCAATTGTTGAGTAACCAAGACGTTCCTTCGGATCCTAGCTCTGCTTCTAGTCGTCGAAATCATCGAATCGTGTCTGCTGATGGCCTGCAAATCTTCGCATTTGATGTTAACTTGAATCGGTGATGACGTGTTGCTTTGTTGCCATTGTAGAACGTTGGTCAATAACCGGATATAACTAAAAAGAAACAACTTACCAATTATGATCTCTTATCAATACCGATTATATTATATTTTAGAAGTTCTCACCGTATAGACATCCTCAAAATTTCATTTTTAGATAATTTCTTATCGGGAGGATGAGTTGGGACCAGTTTTCTTAATTCCGCAAAAGCTCCGCTGACATTTTGCTGTCTCCATCTTTCGCGGCTGTTTGTAAATATTTTCTTAACAAATCCTCGATTATGAGGCTCTTTTGTCGCCTAAAAACGAGATTACGACGATCCCAATTTTTATCAAAATAGGTAATATATAATTTTACCTGATGGATGGCATTGTGTGGCGAAAATCTATGGATATCGAGTCGTTTTTCTTCGTCGCTATCGGCCAGCGATAAGTCGTCGGAAAAATCGTCGTCGTCCGACCAAAAATCGGCTTCGTGTTGGATTATTTGGATTTTACAATCTGACGTGCTGTAATCTAAATTTTCGCCTTCGACTGATGACCATTCCATGGAATCTTCGACATGTTTTATGCTTGTTATTTGAGGCTGAAAAGAGAGAATAATTTTGTATATAAAACATAGAGAACTGTTAAATAAAAACTTAATGCAAAAAACGCTTCAGACTCAGTCGTTTTCTGCGTAGTTGTTATTGTAGTTGCTCATCATACGATCAATATTAAAAAAGCGTTAAATTCAGTTGAGAATAGTTAAATGTTATTCAGAATTCGTTTATTTTAATTGAGAATAGTCATATGTAACTGTGAAAGCGTCAAATGTAATTAGGGATTCCAACGACCTGTCAAAAAGTGCGTTGTGGCAGAAGTTCATTATCCCATATATGAGAGTATGTAATTTAAAGCTTTTTAAAGTGCATTTTGTGGTTGTTTTGTGAATGGATTCTGTTTATTTTTTTATTTTATTGACTTCATTAGTGTTAAAAATGCCACAAACGGGTCTTGAAGTTGATTGTGGAAGTAGTTTCAACAAGGTAACAAGGATGACGTCAGGCGTTTTTCATTGCCCTTTGTTTTAAAATTTTCCAATTAAAACGTGAAAATTTTCCACTACCACTGTTCCTGCATCTGAAATAAAGCCATTTTCGAAATATTCGTAGGAATCTAAGCTTTTGTAGGCCTTCATTTGCTCAATAATGTGAACTGTGGATCAAAATGTCATCTGGACATTTTTTTAAACTAACCGTTCGCCCAGATCCCGATTTTCCTGCATTCAAGTCTTTGAATATTCACTCTGCATCTCAAAAAGTATATCATAACAAAGTAAACTGTAATTAGCTTGAAAATATTCCAAATAAACTCAAGACAAACGTCAAATTTTCCACGCTCGTCATATTGAAAAATCACGTGGTTTGGAGAGCCTACACACTTAAAAATCTGTAGATTTATTTTTTTAAAATGTAGAGATTTTCTATACAATTTGATTCTGAAAAGGGCACAGAATCAATTTGTGTAGCAATTCTACATTCAATTCTGTATGTACCCTTATAGTTTTTTTTATCTAGAAGGCATGTAGGAATTTTGCATAATTATTGATTATTTCTAGATGCTTGATGTATCTAATTTTATCAGGATTTTGGAGTTATCACATACAATTGTTTAGTAAGTGAACACACTGCTGTTAGCATTTCTATATTAGATTGTAGAAATGTTATACAAATTATGGTTAAGGATAACACAATTTGTGTGATAAATAGAAATAGAGTGTAAATGTTTAACACAAATTTGTAGGTTTATTAAAAATAACGGCTGTATCTTTTTAATATAATGCTGTGTATTTTAATAACACAAGGAGTATAGAATTATAAAGGACCCCGCACACTTCTTATGGGATTTTGGTTGAACGCGGAATTTAACCAAATTTTGGTATTTTGTATGTTTCGACCTCCTGAGTAAAAGTTCTCATTGGTACAAACCGATCCTATGACTAGTTTCGGATATACGGGGGTTTTTCTAATACTACCTCAGGCAACCTGAAAATACTGAATTTTCATGCTTTTTGCGTTTATTTGTGGTAGGTAGCTTCAAAAAATGTTGATTAAGTTTAGATCTTTTACAGAAAGGTGCATGTTTTTAGTTAGGTGCCTATATATGTGAATGTACGAGGGTATTTTGAAAAGTACTTGTTTGGTGGGCCTTTGTGTGTTTTTAAAACAAACACAAATAGAAGTATGACAAACTAATATACTGTATTTTTTCCCAAGATAGATTTTGACTTGACACTGTCAACTTTGGAACATAAACAATGCCGCTTATTGGTCGCAAGATGTCATTTGCACCTCATGCATTGTAAAACTGATTACAACCTGCAGGGACACCTCATTTTCCGACCAATCAGGGCCAAGCGTTATTGTTTATGTTTCAAAGTTTTCAATGTTAAAATCCACCTTGAGTTTTCAACAATAAGATTTTCATCCTCAAATCCTAACTTGTTTCGACGCTTTTCAGCCAATCTACGGACTTCTGCATCTTTATTCAGTACTAAAACAAGGCGATTTACTCTTACTCTAGTCCTTCATTGCACACGTAGCACATTACCTTTCCCGAATTGCCATTTTCACAAGAAAGGTGACAATAAAGACAATTCGCTTTATTGACAGGGTCACTGTTTTGGTTTCCATGGTTACCAAGTGAAATATGACATATATGAGAAAACAATTTTCATTGCTTTTTCTTTCCATGGCTGTTTAGATTTTTCAAACAAATCACCAAGTGTATGTATACCTAATAACTAAACACTTAAACCCTAGGCCAAGGGATCATGAGGCAAAAAGTTTTTAGCACAAGCGTAGTGAGAACTGGAATTCATTGAGATAGAAAGTCACTTTTATCACAAAACATAGGTACCTGAGTACCTACAAGTACACAATTTTTCACACTTTTGAACATTTTTGGTTATTAACTCATTTAGCTTAGTGATAGCCATAGTTTTTGAGCGCCTCTGGTATATAATGGAAGAGTTACGAACACCTATCAAACATTTTAAGTTAAGGAAAGATGAAATAAACAACTTTTAAAGCAATACATGCAAGTTTGTTTGCTTTATGTACACTTTATATAGGTACTTAGGTTGCCTAAGGTAATATTAGAAAACCCCCTGTATATCTGAAACTACACCATTTCCAATTGTATTTCAGAAGCTGTCAAATGTATTTCAGAAAGTGTTAAATGTATTTCAGAATAGCCAAATGTATTTCAGAAAGCGTTAAATGTATTTCAGAATAGTCAAATGTATTTGAGAAAGCATTAAATGTATTTCAGAATAGTCAAATGTATTTGAGAAAGCATTAAATGTATTTCAGAATAGTCAAATGTATTTGAGAAAGCGTTGAATGTATTTCAGAAACCGTAAAATGTATTTCAGAATAGCCAAAAGCATTTCAAAAAGTGAAAATTCCGCGAAAATAATTCAGGAGGGAGGCGACACAAAAAATTACCTACCTATGTCTGTGCAGTTCTGCCTACGTGAGCTCGACTGACCCAACAGGAGCTTAATAGTAGCATTTAACTATTCTGAAATTCATTTAACACTTTCTGAAATACATTTAACTATTCTGAAATACATTTAACTATTCTGAAATACATTTAACTATTCTGAAATAAATTTGACGCTTTCTGAAATACATTTAACTATTCTGAAATACATTTGACGCTTTCTGAAATACATTTAACTATTCTGAAATACATTTAACTATTCTGAAATAAATTTGACGCTTTCTGAAATACATTTAACTATTCTGAAATACATTTAACTATTCTGAAATACATTTGACGCTTTCTGAAATACATTTAACTATTCTGAAATAAATTTGACGCTTTCTGAACTACATTTGACTATTCTGAAATACATTTGACACCTTCTGAAATACAATTGGAAAAGGTGTAGTCATAGGATCCGGTTGTACCCATGAGAACTTTTACTCAGCAGGTCGAAATATACAACATACCAAAATTTGGTTAAATTCCGCGTTCAACCAAAATCCTATAAGAAGTGTGCGGGGTCCTTTATATATTTTCGTTTTTATCATATCAATAGGAGAAAATCAACAAAATATGTGCGTGCCAGTTCCACAATTTTGATATCGGATATGGATTACTCAATTATTTCCCATAATTTCGAATTTTGCATAATCTCAATTTCATTTGACCTATTCTGAATCTCATTTGATGCGTTCTGAATTATATTTAACATTTTCTCAATTACATTTGACGTTTTCCTAATTATATTTGACGCTTTCTAAATTACATTTGACAGTTTCTGAAATACATTTAACTGTTTCTCAATTACAATTAGAAAAGGTGTAGAATACTCGTTAAAATTGTTCCATGAAGATCGAGGGTTAGAAATATGAAAAAATTCTGCAAAACTCATGTTTTTATATTTTTGCTCGAGATTTTGGGTGAGTTGACCATCTTTTGATAGACACTTCACAAGGTGTTCGAGAATACTGCCTCAAACAAGGATGCTATCAGCACTAAAAAAATTGTACCAGAAAGTAGGGAATAATTGTACTAGATTGGCGACATGTGTACTAGCTGAAAGCGCGCGTCAAATTTTGAAATTTGAGTACAAATTCGGCTGAATAACCGAATAGCCCCCGACATGACGCACGTCAAGTCACAAAATAAAAAAGTGCGTCTGCGTTCGAAACCATATTCGGAACGCGAATTTCTTGTTTGGCTTTAGCCGCACCGGAGTGGTACCTGGAACGTGGAACCCAATCCACAAGTAGAGAGAAGAGTAGAGCTCAGAACTCGAGTACGGTACAGAGTGACGAGCGACCAGTGCTGCCAGATCTACTGTTTTCGCAGTAGATCTACTGTTTTCATCCTTGATCTACTGTTTTAACTTCTAAAACTACTGTTTTTAGGAGAATACAAAATTGTTCAATTAATTTTGGACGAGTCTTTTACTTTTGAGCAATAATTTGTAGTTTTCGTTACCGACTTCGTGCACTTCGAGTACAGGCGGTTAGCAAAGCGAACGTGCTCTAATGGCCGTTTCCACCAACTATTTTAGGGGAGCCTTAACGATAAGTACCTATTCCCTAAAATGACATTTTTACATGGAGAAATGTCATTTTAAGGAATACTTATCGTTAGGGCTTCCCTAAACTAGTTGGTGGAAACGGCCATTACTCCTCTAACCCCAAAGATGATACACATCTACAGGATTGATTATCGGCCTCGTTTTTGGTAGTCGCCGCCATATTGGTGTGTCACTATTTCCGACGTCATAACTAAGTCGTCGGCTGTTTCAACAGGCTAGAAAAGGCGAGAAATAACATTCTGCCTACGTCATAACTGTGTTTTGGTTTGGGGGGAGGAGGGAGGATTTGTTTTACACAGGCCTTATGAGGATAGGCTATCCTGCAGTAGTAGTGTATATCATCCTTGTTCTAGAAATTGCTCTCAACTCCAAGGTCATGAATGTGACAGAAAATTGCTCTGACTCCACTCCAACTCAGAACTCATGGCATTTTCGGCTTCACTGCTCTCAGAGCGCTCCCCGTCTGAACGGTGACGTCACAG